GGGAACTAGTGGAAGATGACTACAAGGGTAGCCATCTGAAAGGACTAATAGAGTTCTTATGAGACCCCATGAGTTCCCATGAGAATGGGTTATTATAAAAAGAGCAAAATGGCTCCTTCCCTAGTCTCTGGCTTTCTATCTGAACATGTGACCTCCCCTGCCTTATATGTCAGTCCCTCATTGTGACACCAGCAATTACAAGACCCTCAGGAGAGCCAAAGTAGACTTGGGGCCTTCAAAACTGTAGGCTACATAGAGCTCTTTTCTGTATATAAAACAGTCTCAAGTCTTTCGTTATAGCCATGTAAAACAGAATAATATACCAGTGTGTAGACCATTGGCAGACATATAAGAAGGTCCAGTATGACATTGTGATTCTAATTTTTATTTTTAGAGTAATACCTAAGGCAAGTTTGAGAAAAATATGAGTGATATAAATATAAGCCACAGAGATTAAGAATGGTAATGCTGTAAGAAATAATTTGAAAAAGCAGAAACAGGGAAGGGGATGAGATTATCATTGTGCAAGTGTAAAATAGTGTAACTATAGTTTTTAGAAAGTGGAAAGAATACAGTTTAAATAAGTTCTTCTACCAAGAAACTTTCATCCTTGCTTTCCATTCTTGTCTAGGAAATCCTATTCCTATGTCCATGCAGCGCTTTGGTACAAAGATGTTCACAATCCTATAGTACTGAAAAATTGGGGAGGAATGGAAACCTGGACAAATAAAAGCTAATGTATTCTTCACCAGGAACACTAGACTCACCAAAAGTGGATTTAAAAAGATTTTTACATGTATGACACGTATAAGTGCATTTGAAACATAAAATATTGACTGAAAAAAGTTACAAAATGATACACAAATGAAGCATTATTTAACTTTAAAACTACTGTTGGGGCTGCAGAGGTGCTTACTGTATAAGCATGAGGATCTGAGTTTGGATCCTCAATACTTACATAAAAGGCAGTCGTGGTGGCATGCACCTGTAACCCCAGTGCTTGGCGGCAGAAAAAGAAGAATATTGGGGTCTCCTTGGTCAGGCAGTCTAGCTCAAATAGCAAGCTCTGGGTTCAGTGAGAATCCCTGTTCAAAAATAAAGAAAAGGCATGATTGAGTTCCAGTGACAGCCTTTGGTCTCCATATTCAGCACATGGGTAAGTGCACCCCCCCCCACAAACACACGTGCACACATGCATACACCACACACAAAAGAAAAGAAATAAAACATATTTATTAAAATATTAATGTCTACATCTGGCAAGACTGCAAAAACATAGGTGGAAAGATATAAACCACATACTAGACAGTGGTTAATTTAGGGGAAGGATACAGAAAAGGACATGAGGAGGTGGCTTGTGTTCATTTTTAACAGAAATGTTTTATCTTAAATTGTTTTTTCAAGCAAATGTGAAAAAATGTCCACATTTGCTCAATATGATAAGCAAATATCTGTTATCTTGTTTTCTATCTGTTCTAAATATTTTATAATTTTGAAGGCTCTTTTAAAAGACTGCTCAAAGATTTCAATACCTTGAAATTTTTAATATAAAGGAACAGCATCTGCCCATAACACCTTTATCAGTCAAGTAGTATAAGAGATACTCCTTGCAGTTGGAAAGGTGGAGACCAAAAGACTGCTCAAAGCTTTCAATACCTGGACATTTTTAATATAAAGGAACAGCATCTGCCCATAACACCTTCATCAGTCAAGTAGTATAAGAGATACTCCTTGCAGTTGGAAAGGTGGAGACCACCATGAGTGGGCTGGGGAGGCACCAGGCACACAATACAGGCAGCCTCTGTTAAGGGACATTATACCTCCCTAGCCAATCTAATGGAATGCATGATGTCTGTATTCTAAACAGTCCCCTTTGCCTGCCAGAGTGTTTGTTTTCTGAAATTCTTGACATAAGTTTTGGAAAAATTGAGGAATATGGAGACTTTTGAACATACATCTGACATTTTATTTTATGGAAGTTCCTGAGGCTTTTTCTCCCTCCCCCCACTCTCCTCTCACTTTTTCTTCATGTTCTTTTCTGCTTGTTTCATATGTGGTATTTTTGAAAGGCATCATAGATTTTAAAATGTTCTGTAAAAACATCTGCCATGGTCATAATTCCAAATACTTCTTTTTTCATTTATTTTCTTTCATAATATATAAACAAGATAAAAACAGATGTTACTCTGCTTTCTGTCTTTCTGTTCAAGAATTTATAATACTAGAGCACTTTTGTACCTCCAGAACAGAATTTGATTAAAATGTATGCTTGCCCTGGCTGCAGTTATTTTACTAATATCAAATGCATCACTAACTTCTACCAGACTTTGGAGGGTGGGGTTCAGATGGACAAAAAACAATGCCCTCTCTCTTGCCTGACAAGGGTAACTCTGTTTTTCTTCTTTTCTAGAACTTCAGTTTCCTTCAGGAATGGAAAAATGGGGTGATTCCTACAAATTATGGCAAGTTAGCTAATAAAGATAATGGAGATATGGTGCAATTATAATCACCTGTATTACACACAAAATATAAAATGTATAAGTGTGTTTGGTGGAAACTACATAGATAAGACATAGTTGAACTGTACTTTATAAGAAGAACAAGCTTCCAAGTAAATCCAGGGATTTGTTTGGCAGAAGGAGACTAGCAGGATTATAGACCAAGAGTTAAAGATGATTGGAAAAGACCCAGTGAGCAGGTAGCCCAGATCTTCACCTTCTTTACCCTAAACAAGAATCACTCGAGTACCTCGAAAATGTTGCTCTTGATTCAGCATGTCTAGGGATGGGCCTGGCATCCTACATTTTCTAGATTCTCCCAATGGTCCTGTCCATGAGCCATGTAGGATATCTGCAGAGAAAGCCAATGAGCCAAAAGTGTTAACCTAGGAATAGCGAAGTAAGGTAGGATTGTCAGAACATGTAGGCAGCAAATTTCTTATTAGAGATTTTACTCAAATGCTGGCAAAAGCTGGTAAGGTAAGAAGAGTGCTTGAATCTGGAGAACTGTTGCCACGGTATAAGACCAAAGTTACCAAATCTCTCAGTTTTTAAAGGAAAGCCAGAAATTCACTATATTCTAATATGAAATCAACAGGTTTATAAATCCTGGATGAAATTAAAAACACATACACAGAAACAAATCTTTATGAGTCGAACAAATTGAATTTATTTGTTGAACTTTTAGCTACTCATCCAGAATATGAGCAGAAGCAGGCAAGACTATCACTTAAGGGGATCCTAAGGGTTTCTGATGATAACCTGCCTAAATGTTCTGAATTAGAGTTTACTAAAGATACAAAGTGGTATCAAACTGTGTAAAAAGAAGACATTTTTTGATGGAGTCTTGCTGTATATCTCTGGCTGGCCTGGTACTCACTATGTAAGCCAGGTTGGTTTTAAACACATGACAATTCTCCTGCCTCAGCTTCTCCATTACTGGGATTAAGAGTGTGTGCCACCATGTCTGGCTCAAGAAGATTCCTTACAAAGAGAGAGTAGATGTCAAGACATATTGAGCTGAGTCTGATTATAAAGAAGATTAAATACAAAATGACAGTATCAAATTATCCAAAAAAACACAACTGAAAGTCACTGGCTCTTGGTTGTTTTAAACCACAGCTACATTAGTTAAAATATGACAGTCTTCCAGAAAAGGCAATCATTCAATAATTGGAAATTTTGTTTGTTATTCTGTCACCAAAACTGCTCTATTTGAGAAAATTGGGACTTTGACATGAGATTTAAACTCTATGGCAGAGATTACAGGTTGGTGACCAGAATTAGACAGCCTCTTGTCTTTCCTTTTAATCTTCTGATGCAAACCATTATAGATTGGTGTTCCCAGAGAGTTGTATCAGTGACCAACCCCTTAATCTGGCTTTATGAAAGAGAATAACAAAGTTCAATTGCATTTTGGAAAAACAATCTGGTCTTGGAACAGATTTGCCTATTGTGAGAGTTGGAGGGAGGGAGGAGGGAAGACATGAGGCCTTCACAGAGTGAAGACAGTAAATAGGACCAGGAGACTGGTTAGTGGAACAAGGAACCATGTTTTAACAGGGTCCATGTTATCTTTGAAAACTAGCTCTTGCAAGTATGGCAGAAAGCACAATTGTAAGGGAAAACTGGGGGGCCATGCGCAGCCTTTCTTCTGCACTGACATCTTCTTAAACTAGTACCCACGGATTCTCTCTAAAGCAGTTTAAAAGGATTCAGTCAAGGTTCAGTTTTGCTTTGCTGTTTTATTGTTTGTCAAGACCATAGAGGCAGACTCTGTAAAAACTGTCAACATCAAAACACCTTTATTCTTTTTCCTTTAAAATATAACACAATAAAGTTATGACAGAGTCTGGGCTTATTAAGAATCTCTTAGAAATCCACTGAAAGAGTGAGGATGCTGGGGGAGTGAATGTGCAGCACAGAGGATTGGGCCTGATGCGATGCAGGTGAATCACAGGGAGGAAAGGTATGTATTGCACAACCTTGAAGAAAAGACTTCATCAAACCTTGACTGCAGTTCTGGTAAACTTTCAGATGTGACTCAGAATTTTCAGACAGTAAATTGTTTGAGGACAAGAAGAAGAAGCAAAATAGTATGTGATGACATTTATTGACTACTTCGTACATGTCAGGTGGTTTCACATCAAAATTAAACAAATCACTTGTGGTTATAAATTTAACCACTATTTATCGGTGCCTTAAAACAGAAGCCTATGGCTTTACACCAAGCAAAGTAACAGATTCTATAAAGAGTCACATTCCCTTTGAGCCTCCCTATGTCTCCTATACTTTCCTTAAAAAGCAAGGCAGACATTTCGTCCACCTAGGTCTTTGCCACTTAGAGCTGGATTCCAGTTCAATCTTGCCACCTATCACCATTTTCCCTTTGAGAGAAAGTACAGGGAAAGTTTTCCTCTAGCTTGATTTCCCACTTTTTGTTAGAAAATAAGGGAGGCAGGTTCCACTCAAGCAAGTGCAATTAAATAAAGACGGTAGAGTACAACAGAAAGACAGGGGCCGCATTGTCTGTAGCTAGCCCGTTTTTTGCATTTGCACAGTACTCAGAGTTCATTTGAGAGGCCAAAGGAGAGCGAATACAAACATCCATGGACACTAATACGAGCACAGAAAATGGCTTAGACGGTGTTCTGTTTGGAAGGAAACAAGAAAGAAAGTAGGTGGCAATTTTCAGGTTTCCGTTTTTTCATGTTCACTAACTTGGCTCTTGGAACCCTGAAAAATGACGATTTGATGTAGGGATTTTTCTTAGCCCCCACCTCCTTCCCTCCCTCCTGCCTCTGCCTCTGTTTCTCTGTCTCCTCTCCCTCCCTGCCTCGGTCTCAATTCTATTCAGCAAACGTGGCCATGATTTAAAAGCTCATTTCTACAGGCTTGTTTTTCACCTCGTTTCATGCCTTTGCCCCCTACAGGAAGCCGAATGTGCCTATGTGCTCTTTGTGGTTGCCATACTCTGGATCACAGAAGCTTTGCCCCTGTCAATAACGGCCCTGCTACCTGGCTTAATGTTTCCTATGTTTGGGATCATGCCTTCTACACAGGTAAGTTCTTCAAATGCTGCCAGAATTGGATTGCTTATTTTGTGCTGTAACTTCTTTTGAGAAAGGTTGCTTTTAAAAGAAACAGTGATGCTGTGATAAGGCTTCTTCAGAAGTGCCCCCAAACTTTTGGGTGTTCCCCCTCACTGAGCTTCTACGTAGTTGTCTGCTTTCAAGGAACAAACACAGGTTGAAGCTTCTTGAGCCACGTGTATTGTAGGAGAAAATGTGTGTCCATCTTCTCTTGCCGACTTCTATGCTTAGTGCCTTCCTCTCAACAAAAGGGGCCACACATTCACACTCTGCCTAAGCTTTTACTGTTCATCAGAATTTGGTCTGACAGTGTTGAAACATTTTTCCTTTTAATGAAGAAAAAGCTTTCCTGTTTTCTTTTCCAGAAACCTGCCATTTCAAAAAATGAAGCCAAATGAACTTTCATGTGTATTTCTATTTTGTGCTTGCTGAGAAGAGTTTATTCATGCTGAGAGCTATGCCCTACCATCATACAATCACAGGACAAAATAGATTCAATGTACCCTTAAAAGCATGAAATCAGAATATCTATCTCCATGAAGTCTCCAGTCAGTGAGCAGACAACTGCCTAAACCAGACTCACAACTTTCCCAGGAAAGATTTCAAGTTGCCAGTCAGTGCAATTTATCATTTTTGGACTTCTGTCTTCTGCCTGGGCCTAGAACTGCTCTCTTGAAGCACGCGTGTCTTTCCTGTGGATGGAGATTTTTCTTTCTAGTCTGGATTAAACTTCCTCCTATGGGAGGAGTTTTCGCCACGTTATTTCCTGGCAGTTACTCCCCATCTGCAGCCCAGATCTTCTTGTATTTCTGATCCTTCTTTTCATGCCATGTTCCCATCTTCCTCCTAACTTTGATTTTGCTCTTTCTAATTATGATTGATTTGGAAGAGAATGTATCCAGGATTAGCCTTCAATTCCTTACACCCAAGAAAAGGCTCAGCTTCCAAGGAACCTGATATTAAAAATATCATATGTGAATGCACCCATATCATGCAAAACCCATAGAGTCCAGAAGAGGGTATCAGATCCCCTGGAACTGGAGTTAAGGATGGTTCATAGCCGCCATGTGGGTGCTGGGAATCAAACCCAGATCCTCTGCAAAAGCAGTCAGTGCTCTTAACAACTGAGCCATCTCTCCAGCCTGAAAATCCTGTATTTCTTAAATGATCCAACAGGCTACCTTTTTCAGAGACAGAAAAATCTGTTGGTGCCAAGAGTGGTTGAACCTCTGTGACTAGCCGTACCTGCCCAGGAATCTTTTATCTCTCAAAGTGACAGAATCAACAGCCCTGGACTCTGACACAGAATTTCTTCTGGGACAACTCTCACCTGGGACAGATATCATCTCCCTGTTATGGCCTATGAATGTGATAGTCCATGTTTGAAGGCTTTCTGGGTTATAGGTCTTTAGTAGCTCAAAAAAGTTGACTTTTAACGTTCAAGAAATTCTCCTGCAAGTCTGACATTCAGTTCTGACATTCAGTTACATCCATCCAAACAACTTTTACTTAATATCTGTTCTGCAAATAAACTTTATCTTCCTTTTGGATATAGCATTGATTAGATTTTAAAATTAATCCCCACCTCCAGTCTTTATAACTTCGAGACTTCAACTCCTTTCCTCACACCTACCACCTCCAACTCTGTCACTAACACCATCTCTTTTTCTCCACTAAGAACAGTTAGTTTGTCAACAATACTTAAAAAATTTAATGTATTAGTTACATTAATTTGTTACATTAATAGTTACATTAATTAGTTAATTTGTACATTAGTTACAAAATACCCTGACAAAAGCAACTTGAGAAAGGAACGTTGATTTTGGCATATGGTAGGGAAGAGCACCTGGCAGGCTCTTCAGGCAGCTGGTCACACTGCATCTGTAGTTGAGAAGCAGAGAGGAATGCTGGTCCTCAGCTTGCTTCCTCCTTTTTATTCAGTCCAAGACTGCAGTCCACAGAATGATGTTGCCCTTAATGCGCAGGTCTTCCCACCTCTACCTAATCTAGATAATCCCTCTCAGGCATGCACAGAGAGGCTAATCTAATCTATGCAATCTAGATAATCCCTCAGTGGCATCTCCAGAGGCTGGTATCCCAGAGGATTCTAGATCTTAAATTGATTGTCAGTAGTACCCATCACAATTGGCAAATGTAAGTGCTTACAAAGTAAGCACTCAGTAAATGTTGGCTGATATAATTGTAGATTGACAAAAATAGATCACTTCAGAAACATTTGGATCGCTGGGAAGGTCAAGAGCCCACCATCTCCATTCCGGTTCGGTATTTCAGTCTTTCGAATTTCTTCACCTAGTAAGATGAACTGGAGCTTAGAGGAAACCTAAGAACTTGAGACTTATAGTAGAGATGGCTGTTCTTAAGACTTGTGATCCTTTTTCTAGACAGGACAACTGACCTTTAACTTATAAAAACCCAAAGCTACAGGGGTGTTATGGACAGGGTTATAGATTTAGTCAGAAGATCCGAGCTCAGTAGTTGCTCTTTACCCTAATTATGTATATGACCCTTATGTCTATGTCACCTAATCACTCCTTTGTTGTCATCTGTAAGTGGGACATTAAGTCATGTAACAATCAAATAATATGTGTGAAGCAATGATGCGACATCATGAATTTTCATATCCAATTTTGAGAATATTATTAACCTTTCATTGTGCCCTTTGGCAGCACTTTAAAATTTCAAATGTTTCACTGAGTAGCTTAATGTCTTCTTATAAGTAGAGACCCTAAACACCTGTCAGGTGCCATAGTTTTAACTTTATTATTTCTAAAGCCAATGCTGAATATCTAAATCTTACTGTGCACATATGTACTTGGAAAATGTCAGCAAGTATTCAAGTTTTTCAAATCTGTTGAATTAAATCTAAAATGTTAAATATTTAGAGCAGGACCAATTCGATCGTCCATAGTAGGTATTGATATTCTATTGTTGAAAATATATATGAGAAAAAGGCATCTGTGGATACATAGATACTGCCTACATATTGACTCAGTCATTCAATAAATATTTATGCGACAGGTCCTGTCACACTTGGAAAAACACTGATAAGCAAACACTTGTGAAAATATTTATGAAAAAAACAGACAAAAATTCCCTATCATTTAGGGATATGGAGACAGTAAACAGTATATCTGATAAATAGATGAGATGAATAGTTTGTCAGAAATGTAATTGGTGGGACCTGGAGACATAACTCAGCATTTAAAGTACTAGTTATGTGAGCATAAGGTTATGAGTTCAGATCCCCAGCACCCACATTAAAAGACAGGCATGACAATGACAATATGAGCCTGAAATTCCAGTGCTGGGGAGGCAGGAGACAGGAGCATCCCAGGTGCTTGCTGACAAGCCAGTCTACATAACTGGTGAGCTACAAGGTTCCATAAGAGACTATGATAAGAGTTGGCAATCAGGGTAGACCAACCTATTTACCGTAACAATGATTTACCAGAGATGAGGAAGTTAACCATTTGAGAATTGGGGGATGCCCACTATTAAAGGGGGAAATATCCACTGCAAAGGCCTTATACCAGGTCAGTACCTACAGTATGACTAGAGTAAGGGAGTGAACAGGCAATTGACTGAAGATAATGTTGGGGAGGTAATATAAGGAGGGTGGGGGCCATGCCAAAGATCATCATAAGGTTTTACCATTTGAGGAAATAGAAACTTAATGGAGAAATTTGACAGAAAAGTGACATGATTAAGCTATGATTTTCCAAAGACTAATTTGAGCTGCTATATTGAGAAACAAAGCAGAAAGGAGATGGGTAGGTTATTGCAAACTTGGTGAGAGACCATGGTGATTCAAAATAGAAGCAGTGTGCAGCATTGGCTATACTATTAATACATTTTGGAAGAAAAGCCAACTAATTTCCTTGAGTTATTGGTTATAGCATAAGATTAAAAGAAGATTCAAAGATTCTTCCTAGAATTTTAACCTGCGAAGTAGAAAGTGTGGAGTTATAATGCATAAAATTGAAAACATCATATATAAAGCAGGGTTACTGTAGAAGAAGGGCCAATGCTTGGTGTTCAGTGCTGAATGTGTACATATGAAATGTCTATGAGCATCTAGTGAAGATGTTGCATGTGCAAGTGGATACAGCTGAACAGCTCATTGTTTTTGTGGGTTGTCTTATCTGGAGTTATTAGATCTTACAGTCATCAGCATATATAGCTGGTATTTTAAGCCTGTGACTTCAGATTACTTCAAGAAGTAAGTGAAAGCAGAAACTCAAAGTGGAGCCCTGGATGCTGCAGCCTTCAGAAGTTAGGTTGGGTGAGGTAGCTCAGACTTGTAACTTCAACACTCTGGAGGCAAGTTTGAGAACAGTGTGAGTACAAGGCCACCCTAGGAAGCATAAAGAAACCCAGTTTCAAACAAAATAAATGGATTAATGAGAAGAGAAAGTACTAAGCAAGGAGACTAAGAGGAAAAGGTTGTTGGTATAGGAGGAAAACCAGGAAGGTGTGGGATCCTAGGATCCAGGAAGGTGTGGGGTCCTAGGATCCAGGAAAGTGTAGAATCCTAAGATTCAAGTGAAGCAAAACTTTAAGGATGGAACAATAACCAGGCAGTCAAATCTCTTTCTAAGTCAGTTAATATGAAGACTAGAAATTTGATGATTACATTTAACAAAGCAGTTGTTCTACTTTGCCTTCAATTGCTATGACAAAACACTCTGACCAATACCAACTTGGGAGGAAAGAGTTTATTTAGCTTACATCTCCTGGGTCACAGTTCATCACTGCAGGAACCAAAGGTAGAAACTCAAGGCAGAAACCTGAAGGCAGGAGCTGAAGCACAGGCAGAATGCTGCTCCTCTGGTCCATGCTCAGCCTGCTTTCTTATACAACACTGAACAACCTGCCCAGGGGTGGCGCTGCTCACAGTAGGCTGGCCCTCTTACATTACTCAAAAATCAAGAAAATACCCCACAGACATG